ACCTGCCGCTCTCCGAGCCGGGCGAGCCCGACCGCGGCGCACCCGCAGGCACAAACTTTGTGTGAGCGCGCCCCCTCGCCCTCCTCGCGCGCGCGCACCCTCGCCCGCACCAACCACCTGACAAGTGTTGATGCTATCACTGGAGGAAATGTGTGGCCCTCCTCAGCGCTTCCCCGAAACCTGCCCCCTTTACTCGGTAGAACCCGGCGGCTCGCGCCTCCCTCCGATCTCGCCTTTTACCCCTGCAGGCTACCTCTCTCTGCCCAAGGCTTAAGTCCGAAGGGGAGCCCGGGATCCTACCCAACCCAAGCCCAGAGAGGGTGAGAGCCCGAGGAAACCGGCTTCGCAAGTGTTTCTGGGGGTAAAGCACCCTCCCTCGGCCCCGTCCCGCATTTCAGTCCTGGTTCTCCAAGACCCCTTATTCCCTCACAGGCCTCTCTTGTATATATCAGAACGCAGAGCCGGGGGTGGGGAAAGTAACAATACACAGTTGTGGGTGTGCCTTTGGGTGTCTTCTTGGCAGCAACTCGCAAGTCGGGCTGGAGATACGTGCTCTGCACCTTGCGGGAGGCAGGGAGTGTGGAGGTGCGCTCCAGGTGGGATCCATCTCAGCGGAGACACAGCTGCCTGGCCTCTGTGGGAGTGGGAGATGTGCGGAAAGAGGGACCGGGCTGGGTAGAACTTTCTGACAGATCTGGTCAGGAACGGCGGCCTACCCCTGCTTGCGCAAAGGATAGTGACAACAGTAGCTAATGCTGATTGAGCGCGTTGTGCTAACGCACATCATATAAGCCACCTCCCGCAAATACCAAGAGGTCACTGTTATAAAGATGAAAAAAATTAAGGTTTAGAGAATAATACGCATGCCATCACACAACTAGTAAACAGCAGAGAGAATCACGACCTGGGCTGAGATCCGGCCGACTCCCTGTAATCACTGCGGGACTGTCTTAATAACACAGCCATTATCACTGTCACATGCCAAACTCCAGCCACATTAGTAAGTCCCTTCCCAGGCATAATGTTCTGAACCTTAAAGCCTGTCTCTGTGATTTCATGTATATACTATGCCACCTTATCCCTAAAAAAAAAATAATTCATGATAGTTTATAAAGGTGCGTAACTCACAAAAAGTCGTGTTTAAGATGAAAAGTGAAAAATTAGGCACATAAAATGGAACCAGAAATAAAAACTTTTTTTGTGTGTAATGCATCCCAGTCCAATACACTTGGTACAAGTGGGACCAAAATTTGTCTGCTGGATTTTTAGCAGTCATCTTCAAAAGGCCAGCCTTGTCTAAAATGCAATTCCTGTCACATGCCAAGACCAAAAAGAAAAAAAAATTGCTCAAAAGAAGATCAACTCTCCTTGATACTGAGACCAGAAAAATTTCTCCAGAGAATCCTCATGAACACTGGGTAATGGAACCAAGTCCTCAGTCTCAGCCATACACACAGAAGGAGCATATGGACGTTTAATAAATATTAAATTATGATACTCCTCTGGACTTACACGGTGTATACATATGTATGTGCATTAAGCAGATAAATATGTACCTTTTAATAAATGCCTTAATGTATGTAAATGCGTGTTTACATGGACTACAGGGTGTATACACCGAATACTAAACACACTTGCAGGCAATGTCATACACACATACACCTGCAGTCCATTATGTCAGAAGTATAGAAATTTTTAGTTATTAGTTCATTTAAAAAATGAGTCCTGCTGAGTTTTCTAAAGAAAGAGGCCCACTTCTGCCTAAGAAGCTTCTTCCTCTCTGGCTTCCTGAGAGCGCTGCACTCCGCTCGCACCTGATTCGTCTTCTGGGTCCACCTGAACTTGTTAAAAGAGGCTCTCTGGCTGCTCCTACTTGCACAATTTGTCTTTTCCAAACACCTAAAAAAATCAGAAGCGAGCTCCATCTTTTTCTCCATCTTCCACCATGTGATTAGTCTCCGGGTGCTGTCTCAGGCACCACTGACCTTGGGAATAAAGTTCTCCTGCTTTTCTCTTGTTTTCTTTGCCTTTCTTCTGCTTCTCCAAACCTTTTGATGGGCAGCAATCAGTGTCTCTGTAGCAGTTGAGAAAGGTTAGAGACCACTGGCTTCTGCTCACCCTTTGGGTAAGGTCATTCCTTGGGGCTCTTTCTCTGTTATTCTTTTTTCTTTCAACCAGGGGCTCTTAACTGATCTTTCCAGACCTTTGACTTGGCTTTTCGATGGGTATCTGTGAAGCCTCTTCAACTAAAAACACCTGCTTTCGTCAGATTTTCTAAATGATCCACTACTCAAATTAGGTGTTTTTAATTTCTTCCATGACTTCAAGAGGACACAAATGACTGTCAAGTCTGAATAGCCAACCTTGATATCTTGCATCCACAACCACATTTCCAACGGGTCGCCTCCTATAATCATCCCCCAGGGCTTCCTCTCCATCTCCATGGCCACAAGTTAGTCTTGGCCCCAGTTATCTCTGAACCTGAACAAGTGTCACAGCCTCATAAATGGCCTCCCTAGTTATCAAACCTCCTCTTCTCAGATCCTTCTCTCATGTTGCTTTCAGAATTACCGGATCATGTCACTTCTCTTCTTCTGAACTGCCAAGGAAGCCCCAGATGCCTACCGACACATTACAGACTTCTCAACATTGCTCACCTTCGCAACTAACCTTACCTCTCCAGCCTGGCCTCCAGCCCTGCCCTCTGATGCACCTGACTTCTTAGGTTGTACCCTGGATACTCCTGGTAATTGCTGTGCCCAGTGCTCTCACAAGCCTCAGTGTTTTTGTGTGTGTACTTCCTTCCTCCTGCCACCTCTTTTCACCTAGACACACGCCAGCAGTTATACCAAACACACATCAAAACCTGGTAAGTCACCCTAGAGGGCACACAGAGGGCTGCCTCCCAGGTGCAGAGGGCTGCAGACCTATCTTGCAGGATCCGCCTGATGACTGGTTGTGCTTGGAGAACCTACTGGCCACCACAGCTCTCACTCCGTGGTCTAACATTTTTTCACCCCCTGGAGATACATTCACTGGATGCCCACTTAGTGTCGGATGCCGTCCTTTGCATTGAAACTGACAGAGAACAAGACAGACAAGAGTCTTGTTCACACAAGCTTCCACATCTAATGAACAGACAGTAACCAAGTTCAAATATGCCATGATTTATACCCTGATTTCCAGGAGCTGCCACTGCAGAGTCGGGTTCCTCCTGTCCTCATGGGAGACCATGGGGTATCCCGGTTGAGACTCCACAGAAACCAGTGAGGACAAAGCTGCTGCATTTAGGGAACCCCAGCTCCACGGGAAAGTGATGAGACATGGAGAGGGAGAAGGAGGAGGGGATGTGGCACCATCTTTACTCCCCTGCTGAGCGCTGCTCCTGTTGCTGAGATAGGGCGAGCTGGCCTCAGCATTTTATTACTGTGACTGGCCGCCCCACACTGAACACCGTGCACCCCTGCTGCTGCTGCCTACCTCGGACCAAGGCTGGAGGAACTGCCCACGTGAGATGCAGCTCCTTTCGCTCTGGGCCTGTGGACTGGGGGCTTGTGGTAGGGCTCCTGCGTGTTTCTTTGTCCTTGGCATCTTCTTGTGGCTGCAGCACAGGCCTCTTTAGGAGTCTCTCCATCCGTGGACCAGCTGTTCTGTAGAGTGTTCTATCTCCTTGAGGTACCCCCAGGATCCTTCAAAGGAAATTTGATAAATGTCATATAAATGATATTTTAAGATCAATCATCCATTACATAGACTCGAAATATGCACACCCATTCTTGTTTTCAGCTAAAAGATGCTGCTCGTCTCTGTGAAGTCCCTGCCCAGAGCCCCCCCGCCCCTACCCCAAGTCATATTTATCTACATCGTGGAGCCCATGTTTTTCATTTGATTTTGGAATTGCCTTAGGATGTGAACAAACAAACAAGAAATACACGCTGTCTTGTGGTTTTTACTCTTAGTGAGTTGGGGGTCCCTGGAAGACTTTGAACAGAGGAGGGAGGGGATCTGACTTTATAGGGTCACTCTGGCTGTTCAGTTCCAAAGTAACTCATGGGAAGTAAGGGCCAGAAGATTCTCCATGGAAGTGGCCTCATAATTGCCAAATTCTGGGTCTGTCCAGTTGGTGGCTTTCAATCTCTGTGGTAAGAAGTGTAACATCACATTTTACACTTCGTGACTCAGATATACACTTAGGCTACGTGTAAAACTGAAACACAAACTACTGAAACATGACTCTTTCAAATCTTTTTTTTTTAATGACATTAAAAAAAATGCTGATCAGGACCCACAAAATTGTTCCATTAGTGAGTTGGGATCATAGTTCACAAAATCCAGCTCTAAGGCTACCCCTCATGATAATAAGAAATCTCAGTAGTTATCTCTGGAAAAGGGGAACTGGGTGGCTCTGAGTAGGGGGAATCTTGCTTTTCATTGTTTCCCCTTTTATAACTTTTATTTTTGTATTGTGTGCAAGCCATCTATTCGATAAATAAATTCTATTTTGGATCATTCTAGCATAGAACGCCTTGTTTTCTGATTCTTGCCCAAGTGGCTTTAAAAAACCAGAGGCTGGGGCTTGGAAAGGTAAGGTGTCAGTGAATCTGCTTTGTTCAAGTTTATCAAAAAATATCAAACAATGTATTTTTCACAAATACTTGGGGGGCCAGATGGCACAGCAGTTGAAAGTGTGAGCTCCTGAAGTTAGACTGGTTTTGAATCTCAGCCCTCATGCTTCCTACTAATGTGACCCGAAACAAATTAACTTTTCCAAGCCTCAGTTTCCATGCCTGTAAAAATGGGTGCAAACAAAGCCTACCTCATGCAACTTTGCTGATGGTCATCCGGCATGGTCTATGCCTAGCGCAGAGTAACCACCGGACACATTAATGTTTTGAGTGCCAGGCTGTGGGCCTATGAGGTGAAAGTTTCAGTAACCTAGTAAGTGCAATGTAATCACATCCAAGGGACAACTGCCCTGGTCTTGGTTGCTGGGGAGCCAATCTCTAAGAGGAAGTGAGGTATAGGTTAAGATGCAAAGGATGAGATAAATAGTGAGCCCAACTGAAGGGTTGGGGGAGAGGCCAGTGTTTCAGAGAAAAGGAAGATGCAGAGGTTAGGAAGAGGCGAGCAGAGTGCTTCGCTGAACTGCAACACAGGAACTTACTCTGATTCTCCCCACCCCCTGCCGATCTATAAATAAGGTTCTCGAGTCTGACTTCATCTTATCGCCTTGCAGAATCCCGAGAGGCTTCACGCTTTGAAGAGTCCCCCATGAGCTCCTTAAATCCCTCACTCCACTTTAAATGGGATTCAATTAACACCACTCCTCAAGTTTGCCTTTGGGTGCTGGAGCTGAGTGCTGCTGACAAGAGGACTGAGCCAACTACCCTTCAACGCTGGGCTTCCTTTCAAATGGCCGGCACTGCAATCCGAACAGAACAGCCATAATTTAAAAGCTAAAGCTAGTTTGAGTAACACAACCATTATTTGTGAAACTCCTACTGTGCACCTGGCACCATCCTAGCATCAATACTACTTAATAATTTAACACCTACAAAGACACATGGGTAAAAAGCTCGAAAAAACCAGTTAATAGAAAGATTCAAAAGGCCTGGCCCAGCCAAAGGATGTGGTTTTCTGACTATAAAAACTGTTTAATACATGTTTAAAAAAGTACTGTGATAAGCATAGTATTCAAATGAAAACTCCTGAGTATTAATAAAGATACTTGCATATGAGCCATGGAGAAAATCACTGTAAATTAACATTGGCAGGTGCTTCTCACACTGGGATCATCTGCAGACATATCCTTAAGGGTTAAGAAGAAATTCTTCTTCCCTCCAAAAGGGTCATACTTTGCTCATATTTAAGAAATAGTAAAGGAGGCCATTTCACATACAACTTAGAAGCATTTTACTTCTTGATTTGACAGGAGTTCTTTTTTTGTTGTTTGGTTTTTAAATTTTTCAAATATTTTACACATAGATTGTTTTTAACTTTCTTTTTTCAAATGGAGGTACTGGACATTGGACCCAGAACCTCATGCATGCTAAACATGCACCCTACCACTGAGCTACACCCCTCCCCATGACAGAGGAGTTCTGACACCCCATCCCACGTGCCTGTGCCAAAGCACAGTTTTCCACCCAACATGGGATGTTAAGCGTCTTTTTATTCAGTCTGATTCTGTGTTGTGGGAATAGAGAGAAACTCCCTTGGGCAGATAACAGGCTTAGGAAAGTATACACTGGAATGGAACAGTCTGTCTTGCATGTTCCTCTGGCTTTGGAGGCGGGAAGCGAGGCTCTGTCAGCCTGACTAGGAAGGGTGTGTTTTAATCCTGTAGGTAAATGTATTCTCTGAGTACAGAGTTCGTGTTTCACAAATAAGAAAGTCACACCCAAGAGATCATCATGAAAATTTGAAGTGTGTGGATTAAAAAACAAAGCTGAGAGCTGAAATTTCCTATGAGTATTGACCAAGATTGATTTGCCCGTGTCTAAATTGGCAACTGATGCAAACATTTTGGTCAAAGTAATTTCTTGGCATCCATCCAAATCATAGCCAAAATTTACTGCAAAAGAGAACGGTTTTTTGAAGTTTGTTTTGTTTCTGCGCTAACTTGCATCAGCAACTCTGAACAAAATATAGGAGTCTGCATCATGGCTTCATGAGAGTGGATGGAACCAGAACTGTCAACCACGACAGTCAATCAAGGGTTCAGCTTAACTGAGTTTAAACTGAGTTAATCGGTAAAGAATATTGCCTTGTGTTGTGATAAATCCAATCAGCGCCCCTTTATGTGTGATCTTCAAGTGCCCCCAGAAATGAGGTTTTGCTTCCTGAGGAAGGTTACCTCATGCTGGATCTTAATTTGGCCTAGGCAGGTGTGATCCTGATGGACTGTTACTGCTTTGATGTTGTTACTTTGTAACTGCGTGGGGGTGTGAAGAAGCCTGGGTTAGACTTGTGATAGAAATAGACGAGCTCTACATAATCACTGTTGGCTGCTTAAAACAAATCCTCTTAAAAATCTAAATCGCTGTGACTTTTGTCGTGTATCAGCCAGAGGAAGTCAATGGGTCGAGTAGGAGGTGGGGTGGCAGGAGGGTGACTTTCCCTCAGGCCCTCCCCATTTAGGCCCACCCTAAACTCAGCAGGGGTGGCAGGGCCACACTGTGATATTTGGGGGCCCCTATCTCCATAAAAATCTATTTTAAAATGTATTTTATTAATGCCATTTTCTGCAACATTGATTGCCCTGGAGATTGTCATTCTAAGCGAAGGAAGTCAGAAAGAGAAAGAAAAATACCATATGATATCATTTATGTTGGGAGTTCAAGATTTTCAGATACTAACTACTTTATATAAAATAGATAAACAACAAGGTCCTACTGCGTAGCACAGGGAACTATATTCAATGTCTTATAGTAGCCTATAATGAAACAGAATATGAGAAGGAATATATGCATGTCTGAAACATTATGCTGTACACCAGAAATTGACACAACGTTGTAAACTGACTATACTTCAATTAAAAAAAAGTGTATTTTATGATTGTGTAGGCACAAAGATGGATATAATCCAGACTGGATTCATTATTATACATACATTCTTCTTACAGTCATTTTTTTCTTCTAACTTTAAGAGAAGTTAAATGAAAACATTTTCCTGGGCCCCTCTACGTCCTGTGGGCTCTCGGGGCCACACCTCCTATGTTAGTGGGCCCTGGGAGTGAGCCTGGCTCCTTCGTAAAAGACAAAGTGCTCTTTCCTGGCTCTGAGAGAGCAGCGGCTTCTGGTTATTGAGAAATGTTGGTGTATAATAAAGGGAAAGGTGAGTTTCAAGGAGGGACTCCCTCTGTCCCTTTTGTACAGGCAGCAGGGATGAATATGCAAGGTAACTTGAGAGCAGTAAGGTGAGAAATGGCATGAAGAGTGGAAATTTGCCTGGGGAGGAGGCTTTGGACGGTCATTCAAGGCCAGAGGGCCCAGCTTGGAGGAGCCAAAAAAAATAGTACTTACTGAACAACTTTTAACTAGTTGTCAGTCTAGGGACTACAGAATGCTAGTTCCATGCCAGGGAGTGAGTCAGTACCTACTGCTTCCATGTCAGACTTGAACTTGAAACTACAGCACCCAAAGGCCCAGCCTGAGGGACCTGGCAGCCCCTGGGCTACGCAGAAAGAAGGCTAGACTACCCGGCACAGTTGACAGGTAGCGAAAACAAACAAATCAATAAGCAAAACCCCCCAAAAGGGGGGGGCCTGACTTACATGTTAAGCTGTGTTGAGCTAGATTCTATGATCAAACAGAATGCTTTTTACTCCTTTCTCTGTGTTTTCTGGTTACCCTAGATCCCTCATGATGGTTATATGAGCCAACATATTGGGTACTTCCTACATATTAAGCACTAGGCCAAGGCATACACAATTATTTCATTTCATTCTCACAAAAAGATTTTCTGATGATTTACCATTGCTGTTCTCACTTTATAGACGGGAGATTTAAGGTTCAGAAAGGTAAAGTGACTCACCCAACGACACACAGCGAGTGAAACGTGCAGCTGGGTTTCAAGGCAATGTGATTCTGGAGCCCAAGCTTATCGCCATTTTGCTACACCGCCCACTCA